TGAGCTGGCTGTGCTTGGGATAGGTGCAAAAACAAGCTCACTGTTTGCTCAGCCAAGCATGCTCAGAAGCGGCTCAGTCATTCTGTACGGGGGGCCTACAGCTATGGTTTTGCCTGGTGACTGAGCTCTGGCTGCACAATGCCTAAGCGCTCTGCTGCTAATCAAAACGTCACTGGTTCAAATCCACCAGCTGTTCCTAGAAGAGAGATGAGGCAATCTGTTCTGTAAAAGTTCCAACCTTGGAAACCCTGTGGATCAGTTCTGCCTGCCCTACAGGGCTGCTGTGAGTCAGAACTTGATGGCAGTGGTTTTCATTTTCTGTCAAACTGCAAAGTCATGGGGTAGCCAGGAGACAGTGTCTAACTCGTTTAGAGTCACTAGGTAGGTGGTGCAAACTGTTAACACTCTGGACTGGTAGTAGAAAGATTGGTGGTTTGAGCGTCCACAGAGGTGGCTTGGAAGAAAGATCTGGTACTCTGCTTCCATGAAATCAGCGTTGGAACCCTGTGGAGCACATTCTGACCCACCTGGGGTTGTTGTGAGGTGGAATTGACCTTATGGCAATGGGGGGAGGGGGAGAGATAAAGGAATTCAGGCAAACCTGCTGCAACACCTCAGCTCCATAATTAACAGAAGCACTGGGGACACAGTGGTTATGCATTTGGCTGCCAACCGGAAGGTCAGTAGTTCAAACCTTCCAGTCAACCTACCGAAGAAAAATCAGACAGTTGGCTTCTGTAATGATTATAGTCTAGGAAACCAAATGGAGCAGAGTTCAACCCTGTCCTCTGTGCGTATGAATTGATTAAAGGCAATAGGTATGGTTGTTGTTGTTGTGTGCTGTTGAGTCCAGACCAACCCACAGCTGACTCTGGTGGATTTTCAGAGGCAATTAATTGCATGGGAGGAGACTGCCTATCCTACTCCCACGGAACAACTGGTGAATTCAAGCCACATGCCTTCAGGATTGCAGTGCAGCTTCTTGTCATTAGACCACCAGAACATGGTACCATATAGTAATTGTTGATAAGTGCCATTTACATTGACATCTGTCATGTTCTAGCCCATTGTTGCACTAACTGTGCCAGTCCACCTAATGAGGGTCATGATGCCAAGGGTTTATTGTTCAAATGACTTTCTTAGCCATTGCCTTTGACTTTGCCACATGGATGAGTAGGATCATACTGTTAGAGTGTGTTAATCTATTCACAAGAGGATAGACTTGCCACTGTACTAGACTTAAATAAAGTAGTTTCAAAAGTAGAAATTGAGAATCTCAACACCAACAAAGAAGAGGAAGCAGCACATGTTCTTCAGGACCAGAGATTCCTGCACCAGCCAGATTGGGATCTACACAAGAGCAACAACAGCCCCAGCAGAGAACCCAGCAGAGACAAACTTGAGACAGAGCTGACTTAGGACTGCTACTCCATGGAGCCAGAGCCAGAGGCCTCCACCCCGGCTTGCTGGAAGACTAAGGGACAACACCATAAATGGAAGAACTAAGAGAAGTTTGTAACATTGACTTAAGCTATGAGGCTGAGAGTCAAAGGGCCAGTGACCACACATGAGAAGTTGTCTGGACTTAGGGATTGTATCCTGATGCCAACAAATGTCTGTTAAGTTCCCTAAAATGCCCCAAAATCATTAGTTCTGTGAAGTTTTTGTGATCATCACAATGGATTTTGAACCCAGATGTGCAGGAATATTAGTATTGGAAGTAGAAACAGATACAGGAGTTTGAAAGACCATATCTGACCTTACAGGAATTAATTTTGTACTGTGGATGCTGTTGATGGGGACAGTTCCCCTTTGTGGAGCTAGTAGAATTCAAACTTGCCCATACTCATGCTGTCTACATTCTTTTCACAGGGTCATCCTCTCTTACATTGACTCTCTACTTTTCCAAACAATGGTATGGTAGTTTAATGAACTACTCCCTAAGTGATACAAACGGTAACAGAAAGGGTAGAGGCTCAAGTCCACTAAAGTCACCTTGGAAGAAAGGCCTGGATATCTACTGGGCAGTCATCCATTTGAGACCCTAGAAGCACAGTTCTACTCTGATTCAGGCAGGATCTTCATGACTTGGTGTTGAATTAACAGCACCTGACTTGTTGGTTGCAGACCATACTTTCCCACATGCTGAATGCACCTATGTCATTGAATGGTCACATCTAACCCTGAGTTTGGTTAGGAAATTTGCCACACTCTTGAAGGAAGTTCATTTGCACTAGAATCTGTGTTTTTATCTGTAGCACAGGAATTAAGTTTGGAAAATTTGTAGAGCAGAGAGTAAGCGACTACACTCAATGACAGGATGAAGGTTCTAAAAGATCTCTTTAAATAATCACAAAAACCAAGGAAATGAATTTTAATAGGGATGTGAGTAAATGGACAACATTTGTTTTTGTGGGTTTTTTAAACATTATTTTTGTTGGCACAAGCTTGGGGCAAGAACAGACATAAGTTAGACATAGTTCGTATGAATGTCAGTTAGTTGCATGGCCTATAAGGAGAGTTGGTCATGGATTGTGGAATGTACCGGGTTGCTAATGGAAAGGTCACTGGTTGAAATCCACAAGTCATTCCTCTGGAGAAAAATGGGCAGTCTCCCCCCCCCACCCCCCAAGGAAATGAAGGTGTATTTATTAAAAGTAAAAAAAAAAAAGTTACAGTATCTTGTAACAAAAAAACCCCAAATTAATATGTATTATAATATATTCTACAATATTACATCTTTTAAAACACCAAGACACACTAAGTAATTTTAAAAAAACAACAACTTTCAAAAGAAAAAGAAAAAAATCCCTGTGTTCCCTCCACTTTGCTGGGTCTCTGCTTGGAGCAGAGACCTTTAAAGATTTACAGACTCAGAAACCTGAGGGAAGGTCTGTAAGCCAGAATCAACTCTAGGGCCATAGGTAAACATCACTCAGCATGATGCACGTCCACGCTGTGAAATCCTTGCTGTGGAATTCAGACTTAGAGCTCATAATACCTGCAAATAAATCCTTATAGTCTGAAAAATTAAAAGAATATATGGTAATGTCGCGGTTTTTGCATCTTCGATTACCTGGGGAGATGGGAGGGGTCTGAGGCTGGCCTCTAAGCTGCCCAGCCTTCAGCTAGTCGGATACCTAACCCCTCCTCTGAGCGGCCTGCCAGAATGAATGTCGCCAGGTTTTTGCCTCTTAGATTACCTGGGGAGATGGGAGGGGTCTGAGGCTGGCAAGATTTTACTGAAGATTATCCAAAAACGACTGGAACAGCACATCAACAGAGAACTACCAGAAGTCCAGGCTGGGTTTAGAACGGGTCATGGTACTAGAGATATTGTAGCTGATGTTAGATGGATCTTGGCTGAAAGCAGGGAATACCAGAGGAATGTCTATCTGTGTTTCATTGACTATGCAAAGGC